TTGCCTGGAAAATCTCATGGACGAAGGAACTTCGTGGGCTGCAGTCCATGGGTTTGCAAAGAGTCGGGCACGACTTACTTACTTAAGGCAATGTACCTGGGAATAAAATAGGTCTTAATGGAGTTTAAAAAGGTAAGGCTTTGAGGGATGAGCAGTGTCACTGGAATGGGTCCAAAACCTAAGTCTCTAGACTTCCAGTATCTCACTGCAGCTGTCTCTGTTAGAGATTCTGTGTCTAAGAATTTCCATGGCCTATGATTTTTCCTTTTTCCTAGCATCCTGTTCTTGCTTTATGGATGCAGTGCTTTTTCAAGTTTCTCCACAGATACTAATTGCAGTTCTCTTCCCTGAATTATTTGTGCCTCTTCGGGGTCAGTTACTCTTTTTAGATCTTGATCTTTGTCTTTTATGCTGTTGATGTTCCTCACCTATGTAGAAAGTTCTGATTTTTTTATTCAAAATTTAAAATGCAGGCCTTAGTGGATTTTTTCTACAAAGCAGGCATGGTTTTTTTTCTCCTGCCATACATGTAGGTTTGTTTTCTGGATGGGTCACTTCTATGAATAGAAACACTGGGAGCTCATGGTGGGTGATTGTCCTCTAGAGGACTTTTCTTCAGGGTTGGCAGGCAGGGAGTCCCTATTTGGGAACTGAGCTGGGAGCCCCCAAATCAATGTTGAGGTTTGTGTTCTTTTTTATCTTTTGACTGCCAACCTGGCACCCTGCGTAGTTGTACTCTTTCCCAGGCTGTTTGTTTAATTTGTTTACAAAAGATTCATTGGAAATGAAGGGTAGCAAGATACATCGGGCTGCTGAGAATGTAGCTTTATGTATGCTGATGAGGACAGGAGGAGGGGTGACGGGGTAGTTGGCCAAGGGAACCCCAGCTGGATTTTCATGTAACCTCGCCTGTATATTGTTTCCTTTCTCATCTCCACACTCTGTGGAATTGAATCTCTGAGCACTGAAGCCCTTGAGAATTCCTGTGGGAACATGGACTCTTGCCTTCTGAGGGCAGTTTCCTCCTGTGGATTCTGAGCTGCCACTCCTCTCTGTTATCTGACAACAGGCTTTATCGTGCTTCTTTTGGAAATGTTTGAAGATCTCTCACCCACTGACAGCCCTCCTATTCTTTCTTGTTGTTTAGTTGCTAAGTCATGTCCGACTCTTGGTGACCCCATGGACTGCACCACACCAGACGCCTCTGTCCACCGTCTTCCAGAGTTTGATCAAATTCGTGTCCATCGGGTTGATGATGCCATCCAACCATCTCATTCTCTGTCACCCCTTTCTCCTCCTGCCTTCAATCTTTCCCAGCATCAGGATCTTTCCCAATGAGTCAGTTCTTCACATCAGATGGCCGAAGTATTGGAGCTTCAGCTTCAGCATCAGTCCTTCCAATGAAGATTTGGACTGATCTCCTTTAGGATGGACTGGTTGGATCTCGTTGCAGTCCAGGGTACTCTCAGGAGTCTTCTCCAACACCACAGTTCAAAAGCATCACTTCTTCAGTGCTGAGCCTTCTTTATGGTCCATACATGACTACTGGAAAAACCAGAGCTTCGACTAGACAGACCTTTGTTAGAAAAGTAATGTTTCTGCTTTTTTGTTCTTTGTTAGGGCTTTATTTCTTGATTATCATGTATAGGTGTCTTGGGAGAGAAGAGAGAGAAAGATTTGTGCTCAGTATGCCCCCTCGAATCTAAAGTCTGACACAGAATTTTATTCTTTGTTAGATTATAAAAGAAAATGCAATTATTTAAACAGCATGAATTGATTCTCTCCCGCATCACCACCCCAGCTGTCGCCACTGGAGGAAACGGTTTTCCATGGCTTCAACGCAGAACACCTTTTTCCAGCTCCTCGTTTAACCGTGGCCTCACAAGTGTCCTGTTCTCAAGTGAAACGGGAAACAGTTGACCCAAAAACATGTACGTAAGGAAGTGAGATCCCAGGTCTGTGGTTTGGGACTTGTAACTTTGCGAAATCATGGGGTGGGGACCGGGTGGACAGATAGAACTCAGGGAGACCACGTAATAAGAAAGAATGTGTGCTTGTTTTAATTAAAGTGTCCTTTATTCCACTGATGTATCGTTAAGGTTGAAATGTATTAATAATAAAGATGATCAATAACAAGCACACCTAGGTTCTACATTAAGTACAAAGGGGGAGAACGTACGGAGTAAAAGAAAATATCATGCTGTCTTGCTTGGTGTGTGGAAGCCAGAGACGTAGGTGTCCTGTCTTCCTCCCGAGTTCCCATTCCTCGTCGCCCCTGATACCAGGCCCTCTCCTGCTGGCTTGTTCTGTTCCCTCAGCGGTGTACTTTGGGCATCGGCAACCACCATCACCGTGCCCCGAGGATCCGAACCTGGTACCCCACCCTGTTCCCCTGTGGCCTCGGTTCCCAGCACACTCCCCTTGTGTACTTCCCTCCAGCTGAGCTGGGCCCCTGGCTGTGCCTGTGACCTTGACCCCGAGCGGGACCTGGTCTCCAGCCCCACCAGACTCGGGGATATTTTAAGTTTCTTCAGTGAGAGAGCCCAAATCAGCAGTCTGGAGTCAAATGTAACATTTATGGTCATGTTGTTTAATGGAGAGTACCTTTTTTTGGTTCAGAAGCAAATGTTCCTCCCAGATTAACTTGGGCCATTTGGGATTTGGGATGGGAATGTTTTGTTTGTTTTAGGTTCCCCCAAAGAGTTTTTGGAAATGTTCATCTTTCCAGTTCTGCTGCCTGGAATGGCTAGCCTGCTTCACCAAGCAAAGAAAGAAAAATGTTTTGAGGTCAGTTGTTTTGTTTATTTCTAAATAATAATTCATTTTTATCAGATGGTAGCTCATTATACTATCAGGTGATGGTTTTCAAAACAATCCCTTTGGGAGAGAAAGCCCGTGTTTTGGTCACTTACCCAGCTCCAGCCAGGACATCTAGCTAAGCACACACACGCACTGCCATCTGTCTGGCCGCCTGGCTATAGGGAGGTTTTCTGCTTTGCTTGGCCTCCCTGCCTGCCCTTCTCCTGGGCATTTGGCATCTGCCAGGTTTCTTGAGTCGCCTGCTTCTGTTAGGATGAGCCCACGTTATAACTCTCCTCCCCTCTTATCTGGCTCTGGACTGACTTTCTCAGCTCGGGCCTCTTCCTACTCCATTTCATGCCAAATGCCATGAACGTACTTGCTTCTTGCCTTGCTTCCCCTGGCACACAGCGAGTCCTCGGCGACCCGTCATGATCACACTGTAGCTAGCTATCNTCAGCGTAACATTCCTTCTGACAGGCCTCACCATGACAGTTGTGTCTTTAATAGGAGGAGAGATGAATTATGAGACATTGGTCTGAAACCAGGCAGCGTACCTGTGAAGGAAGAGTTTAGGGCATGCTGCTGGGCCATGGTACACCATTTGAGAACCATGGATCCACACAAGGAGGCCAAGACCCCTCAGCCTGTCTTTCAGGATCCTCCACAGTTTTCCCCTCTTTCCTTCTAGCCTCATTGCTCTCCGTTCTCCTTCCTGGATGATACCCTCCATTCCAGCAGATAGAACCACTTGGAGGTCCCTGCACCAGTCCCACACTTCTGTGAATATGTTCCTTCTTCTTCTTTTTTTAGGAAAAAAATCCTTGAGTTCTTATTCTCTGCATATTTAAGTTCTGCTTGTTTTTCCAATCTCAGTACCGTGGCTTGTCTTTCAGGCCTACTATTCCAAAACTGGAAGCAATTGAACCCAGCCCTCAGATTTCACAGTATTTCATCTATTTCTCTTCTTGTGGAAAATTAAGACATCCTTAATTAAGACATTCTTGATCCATAAATGCACTTCATTTTTTAAATGTCTGTTTCCCCAGCATTTTAAGTTCCTTGAGGACAGATACTCTGATTTATTTTTGTATCTCTATTTAGTGCCTAGTATATGCTACCTAGTACGTAGCCCCTGGTAAACATGTAGTTGGCCCTCAGTAAATGAGTGCATGGTTGGACATCAGGGGAGCACCTCCAAAACTATGTCCTTGACCAAAACTCAGTTCTCTTCTGCCTAGGAAGGCTGTTCTCTTGGGCACATCCCTGGGGGGGACACCGTGAAGTGGGAGTGAGAGAAGACTTCCATCCACTTTGTGGGTTTAGTCAATCGAAGAAAGCAGTGGGTGGCAAATGGCACTACCTAATCCTCATTATATATTCATTATGCAATTAACAAGTAAATCAGGCTTTGGTTTATAGTGTCGTGGCTCAGGGCATGTCTCTGGAGTCAAGGTTACCTGGTTTTGACATTTACCTCCACCTTAGCTGGCTGTACAGACTTGGGCAAGTCGTTTCCTCTTTCCGAGTCACCATCTTTTCCTGACATGAAGAATAGCACTTGCTCATGGTGTCGCTGAACCAGGTTCATCTGCCTGATGTACGGCAAGGCAAACAGTAAGATGCCAATGTTTACAGCAGAGAAGGGGTTCCTTCACAAGGCCACCAAGCACGGAGATGGGAGAACAAGTCTCAGATTCACCTCCCCAAAGGCAAGGGGCTTGGGGTATTTATCGGTGAAGAGTATAGGGTCAGAGATATGGGGCAGGTGACTGGAGGCAGAAGAAGGGAGATTGAATTTTTACATCTTTGATATTCGACACAGTGTAGACATTTTGCAAATACTGGATTTGATTTTCCATCCCATAATAATATTAATGCTAACATTGGGCACTTACTATGTGCTAGGCAGTGTAAGTGCTTTCCATGCATAATGTCAGTCTTAATTTTCCCTAAAGGGATTAAGAGTATTTACCTCTCTTTCACAAATAAGACAATGAAATTCAGCAAGTTTAAGTCCCTTGCCTAAAATCATAGCCAGTAAATCATGGAGCCCATTTTAACCCAGACAGACTACTCACTCCAGTTTAGACTCTTAATACTTTGGCCTACTAACTTTGTTAAATGGTATTTTTAATTTTAGTTAGACCATGCTGGGCTTCCCTGGTGGCTCAGTGATAAAGAATCCACCTGCCAAGCAGGAGACTTGGGTTTGATCCCTGGGTCAGGAAGATCCACTGGAGAAGGAAATAGCAACCTACTCTAGTATTCTTGCCTGAAGAATCCTATGGACAGAGGAGCCTGGTGGGCTTTGTCCATGGGGTTGCAAAAGAGTCAGACACAACTTAGTGGCTAAACAAGAGCAAGACAAAAGACAGTCACTGTTCTACACAGGTATATCTGAGTTATATTCTTCTTCATTGGACACATGTTCAGAAAACAGAGGTGCTAGCCTGATCTGAGGGTAGAGTTTTTGGCTCTCGGACATCAAAAGGTCATTCAGTGGATGCCTACATAGGTGCAGTTTTAGGGTCAGCTTGAAATGGACAAAAACTGACTTCAAATTTCTGAAAAACAGCTTGCTGTTAAGTCACTTCAGTCGTGTCTGACTCTGTGTGACCCCATAGATGGCAGCCCACCAGGTTTCCCTGTCCCTGGGATTCTCCAGGCAAGAA